ATGGGCAGGGGAATTAAAACTGAAGTTCAGTTTTGTACTAGGGGATGGATAGACTTAGGATGTGTGTATGTGTGCGCATGAGAGAGATAGGGAGAGAGAGAGGGAGAGGGAGAGAGAGGTTGAGAGGGAGATGTTCTTGCCCATAAATGAGATCTATCAGCTACTACAAGATCTACCATGATGGATCAGGAGAATCAGTAATCCATAACCTACATTAAAGATGCTCGGGTAGGTAGACAGACAGCCAATCAGTAAGTAAATAAGTTTATTGTTGCAACCACTGGTTATTACTGCCTCCCAAACATAGCTTATTGGAAACTCTACAGCATATTGGAAGCTAGATGTTATCCTGTATAAAGGAAGACATTGTCAACAAAAGTACAGGCTCCCTCTATGACTCAAGAACAGAAGGAACTTAGAGATGATGGACAGAAACAAATAGATTTTAAATTTTTAAAGGGCTTTTTTCCCTGCCTTTATTATTTTTATAAGTAACTCAAAGCTGCAAACACACTTAATATTCCTTCCTCCTCCTGTTTTCCCTACCACAATAGTTCTGTGAGATGATTGGGCTGAATGAGAATGAATGGCCCAAATTCTCCCATATGGTTTTCATGTTTAAGACTGAACTAGAACTCACAGTCTCCCGGTTTCTGGGTTGGTGACTCAATCATTAAACTGACTCACTGACTATTTGCTCCTTTCCTGCTATAGGACAAACTTTTCTTGCCAACTGTGACAGGCAGAAGGAAGATAGCAAAGCCAGAAGAATCAACCAATTGTTTTTATCATACATTCCAGACAAAATCAGGAGAACACAATTTGAGATCATCCAACACCACAGGATGAGATATTTCAATATGCAGATGATACTCAGCTTTAAAATTCCATTCCTAGTGATCCAAGTGGGGCTGAGGCTGCCCTTTTGGGGTGCCTGGAGGTTATAGGGGTCTACATGTGGGACAACAGGATTCAGCTGAAGCCCAGAAAGATGAACTTGCTGTGGATTCAAGGGACTTCAGGATCTTGTTTATTATTTGTAGTTCTGGATGGGGTTGTACTATCCCAGATAGGCCTGGTGTGTGAATTGGGGTTAGGGTTAGGGTTCTCTTCGACTCACAACTCCTGCTTGAAGAACAGGTAGCAGTTGTGGCTATGGGGGCCTTTGTGCAACTTTTGTGTTGTGCCTTGGTCATCTCTCAATTGGATTACTGCATTGCACTCTACATGGGACTACACTTGAAGAGTATTTGGAAGCTACAGCTGGTACAGAATGCAGTGGTACATCATTCTGGAGGCCCCTAGGGTGGCACATATAACACCACTGTTGTGCTAGCTGAATTGGTTACCAGTTTGCTTTTGAATCCAATCCGTAATTATTTCTTGAAAATCTCCATATGGTCCAGAGCATCTAAGGAGCCATCTCACCCCAATTCTGCTCCACCACTGGGGACCATCTATTAATGAATTGTGGTAGGTAAAGTTTAGGAGTCTTTTCCACTGTGGCCCCCATCTGTGTGGAACATTCTACCACTGAAGTTGAGAATTTCTCCTACCCTTCTAGCTTTCTGGAAGGGTATCAAAAATTGGTTTTGCCGGTTGACCTGGGGCCCCAAGGAGGGCATTCACTGCTGGAGGTGGTTGATGGGATGAGAAGAGCTCATCCCCTTGATTCTAGTTTATATATAGCCTTTAATATTTTTATTATTTTGATGTTTATCTTTTTACTCTTTGTAAGCCACCCAGAGACATTAGAGAAATGGGTGGCATATAAAATAATAAATACATTTGGTGAAAAGAGAGAGGAGGTAGTACAGAAATAGCAACAGTTAAAGCCAGTATTTATTTCTGCCAATCCAAAGATGTTTAGATAGCACTTTATTTTAATAATCACGAAAATCATTTTCAGGCACGGTAGAATCAGTACCAAGCTAGACATGTGCTTCAAGCCCACCTCCCCAAGCCCACATCTGTGCTGCAGTGCCACAAATATTGGGAAGGTATTGTGCCCCCTACCACTTGGCATTGCAGCTTTATAGATCTATATCCAACAGCTGGATGTGTACTTCAAACACCCCCTTTGTGTTTTCAATGCTTTAGCACCAAAGACATGGAAGAGGCTTTTTCAAACCAGAGACATGGCTCTGACTACACTTGTGGGAAAAAGAAGTCACACTGTTTCGCCAAGATTGATATCCTAATTCCTTATTTCAGAGCTTATATGTGTCACCAACATTAACCTTCATCAATTTCAAATAAAGTTGAATTGTTGGTTTTATTTCAAAAATAGCATTTTTTAAACATCCAAGCATTTGGTACTATATTGGTATAACAATAAATGTTTTAATTGAGTATATCCCTGAGCAGATGATTTAGGTAAGCTACGATCAATGAGGACATTTTAAAAATTCTTAAAATACTGGTTGCTAATCACCTAATCTGAGCTCTTGCTCTTGTTCAGCCTAAGAGTTCTGATAAAATATTTCCCTCCATCTTTAAATTGGGATTTGCACAAGTTTTAGGAAACATTAAATGCAGTTCTTATGAGTTAGATATGAAGTTAATTAATCAAAAACTGTGTTTATTGGGTCCCCCAAAATAAATTTAAAAAAGAATGGGTATCAGACTTTTTGTGTTGATTTTGCAGGTCTTTTTGACTCAAGTTCAAATTCTCTACAGCCTTTTTCTAGTCTCAAGTTACATGTTAGTCCAGCTTTGGAGAAAACTTTATAAAAATGTAAATGAAGTGTGGAACATATTCCAAAAATACAGAACTTTTATAAATATCTAACTTGGGGATCATTTAAGAAAATCATTCTATGAAGGTGGAATAATAAAGAATGGATTCAAGAGACGTGTGCTTTGTTGATTTCTGAAAAGTCTGAAGATATTGTAGAGAAGATAGGTATTGTTACTATAGGGTTTAAATGTTAGATGTCTATTAACAGCACATATGGTTTAAAAAAATCAGCTTATCACTAATATATATGATCGTGTATGTAGATTTTTGTATTACCCTTACTATACTGTTTTTAATTTTGTTAAAAAAGAGAAAACAAAGATAAAATGACCCACTTCCCCTCCTCTCTTGGTCTTTCCATCCTTTGCAAGAAAAGTGGAGAGTCCAAAGAAAAGTGGGAACTCTGTCTATTCTGCACCCCATCGCCTTCTTTTCCCATGAGGAAGAGATAAATGAATAGATAAATGACAGAACTGGAGAAAGGCTTTTTCTGGTGCAATGCTTCAGTCCCATCCAAGGGATCAGAGAACTAACAGCACCAAAGGTATTTTTCCTACTCGGCCTCTGCCCTACTTGGCTCTCAAAATAAAATGTGCTTATTTTGTACCACATTTGCTTAAGGGATCCTAAGTGCTATTTTCTTTCTTCTGGCCCCCATGAAGAATAACAGCACTGCTGCTGTGTCAAAACGTGCAAAATGAGGCAACAGCACATTGTTGGATGCCTTTGGTGGAAAAGAGATACAATATTACATGTGAAGACTAGCATATCTTCTACCATTTAACCACACCTTATTATTCCCTTTTTCCCCCATTATTTTTGTTTTGATTTTGGGTGCCCCAATTCCTGTTCCTGGTAAAATGTCGTAATAGTCCTGTTTTCGTAATAATGGGTAAATGAGTTTCCATCACCTCCGCCCACGCAAAAGCACATCTACATCTGTGCAAAGGCTTTATAAATCTATGCTCATCGGTTGGATATGTTCTTTAAACATCCCGCCACTTCCCTTGCCTGTCAACTCTCCGCGCTTCATTCTGATGGTAAAAAAAAACACACACACAACGCCCAGGGTTCTTTTTAAACCCGGGTGTTTGAAGTTAATTAATATCTGGGTTCCTACGCCCGTCCGTTCCGAAAGTCGAGTCTTAGAAATAGAACTTCTCAAATTCAGGACTGTACTATAGCACTCTGGCTTCTAGGCAGGGCGATGTACCTTTTAAATTCCACTACAGTACGTCGACTCCCAGAGAGGCAATCGAAACACCATCTCTTCTTTAACAGTTGGACTTGAAAGCCCGCCTTAGCGGAACAGCGGACGAATCACCAACGCCAACAACGTAAGCCACGCCCGAACGACTCGCCCTCTTCCAAGATGGCCGCGCAGCGCGCGGCGCCCGTCTTGCGTCATAACCGCCTCTCCGGTGGCCTTGCCCTTTTCCAGAATGGCCGCACCGCGAGCGTCGCCAGCCTCCTCGGACTGAGAGGCACGGAGGAAGTTCGAGGGGAGGGGAGGGGAGGGAAGTAACCTCCTTTTCCTCGTCCCGCGTCGAGCCCGAGCGCGTCGGAAGGAAGCTGCAGTGGGGCGGGGAAGGTGCGTTTCCACCGGGGGGGGGGGGGGGGGGGGGGGGGGGGGGGGGGGGGCGCCTGTTGGCCGGCGGACGGTTGGCGATTAAAAGAAGGGGAAAAAAAACTTTATAGAGAAGGAGCGACGAGACAAAGAGGCGTTGCGGCTTAGTGGCGCCCGGAGGGACACCTGCCGAGGCTCTTTTGAAGTTGAACGCAAGGGAGAAGCGAGGGAGGTGAGTGGCTTCTTTGCGGAGTTGGGGGCAGCTTGCTTGCCCGCCTTTGGCCCCTTATCATATAGCCCGCTGGTCTCGGCCCCCTTCCTCGAGGTCCAGCCGCGTTTCCTTTGTGAGAGAGGCTGCTGTGGGTCGGTTGGGAGCGCCGGGCAGAGGCTGTTGGTGCCCTGCGTGGGATGCCAGGCTGCAACGAGCCAGCACGGGAGCTTTCCCTGCGGAGGTTGCCGCAGTAACCGCTGGAAGGATGGGCGAAGGGTGTGGAGGCGAGCATGGGTCTCCTTAGCCGCCCAGCTGAGGGCATGGTGGTGCACCTAGCCTTCTGGAATACATTAGGCCTCAGAGCCTGACCAGATGTGTGGCATTTTTAACCTAAAACTAGCACTTTTCAATCTTGTTTCCCCCCCCCCTATATATTGTATTAAAGTAATCCCCCTCCTTTTTTTATAAATGACTCGGGTTGAGAATCAATGGTCCTGTATGTATTCAGGTATGTCCCTATAAAGCCCGAGTATAAGAGTTAAAACCGTACATTTTTGTGTTATACCATGGAGGGGAGATGTCAAATATTTCTCATTGTGGGAAAGTATGCAGGGTGAATGGCCTCTTGTCTTACTTGTTTATGAAATTTCATCTGGTTTTGTTAAAATCAAACAGGAGTAAAATAACTGGGTTTTTTTTTTTTTTTTTAGGATTTCAAGTTAGGGTTTTTAGGCTTTCCAGTTCATAATGTTAGTGTCAACCTTCAGCAAGAGTCTGTGAAAATGCAGATTATTGCAGCCATATATAATATATCTAGTTTTTTTTTTCTTAAGGTGTGGTGGGGTGATAGATGTATATTACAGTGGAGAAAGTGAAGTGCTAATTTCTACCTAGGAACATGTAAATATTATTCTGGTTTTTTTCTTTAACATTATGTACTACAGAATCTGTTCTCAAAATTTCATTTTTGGTCACTATGTAATTATGGTTCCACTTAGGACATAAACATGCAGGATCTCATTGCTTGTCAGTATTTGGAAATATTTGGCAATCCAATCCAGACATTATGTTCCTCCTCTGGAGTTTTAACATATCAGAATTAAACTATTCTGATTATAATCCTGTAGCTCCCAGAGGGCAAGGCACCCTCTGCCATACAGGGAAGCTGTTCAAGTTAAATGTCTGCAGCTGTTGCTTCTCTGTGAAGAGGGTAAAAAGGAATGTGTGGGGCCTATGACAGGGAAGCTGGAAACAAAGTTATATTTTCCCATCACTTCCATCCCAAAGTAGGGAATAAAGGCCTTGAGATCAGAAGGTTATATACTTTATCTTCTGGCCCACTTGGAAAAATGAGGAAATAGGAAGAGAAGAAACTAAATTTTAAAAAAACCATCCCTACCTTTCAGCTTTCTAGTGAAATTAGTAATTTATTTCCCCTGTCCTTTTTGGATTGCTCTGTTAAAGACATATTCATCAGTCATTGCTTCTTTGCATTAGTCATTTATCTAGTTCACCATTTATTATCTAGCCAAACTATTTGGAAAAGTTGCGGTTTGACAATGATTTATTTTATTTATTATCTAGCCAAAATATTTGGACAAGTTGTGGTTTGACAATGATTTAATTGCTAAAATATTTTTGCTAAAATATCTCAAGAGTTGTTTCGTGATTAGGTAAATACAATTGCTTCTTGTGTTGTTGCTGAAATTGAGTTGGTTCTTGGGTACTTAAAAACTGAAAGGGGTGTAACTTGAACACAGTGATGCATTCTGTGAGATGTTAAAACAATTAACTCCATTCTCTGCCAATACCTGTTAGTTCCAAAGTAGAAAATATTTTTTCTTTGCATGATAAGATATGACCAGAAATGGATATTTATTATTTATTAGAAATGCCAACCAGGGCTGGTCTTTTATTTTTGTGTGTATTCTTCACTGCTGAATTTATTTATGTTAGATAAACCATGTTTAACCTTGTTAGGCTCAAAAGATATTAGCTATTTCTCTTAATTTAGTATTTCTCAATGAGGCAACTTCAAGATGTACAGATTTCCAGAATTTCCAAGCCAGCATGGCTATAGTTAATAATGCTGGGAATGGAACTCCACACATCTTAAAGTTGCTCAGTTGGAGAAATGTTACTTTAGTTCTTAAAGATATGGACTGCTGGGCCTAAATGACTTCAGATCCATAAGCCTCTCCAGGGAGATTGAGCATGTGATTAGCATGTTGCAATGACAGCACAGGACTAAAAGTTTGTTCCCAATTGAAGTCATTTTGTATTCTAGAGAGTATGCTGTTTGAGATATATTCTGATAGTCATTTTATTTTTGGTGGGGGAAGGTTAACCTGAAATTAACAACTTTTCCCCCCCAATTCTGCGCTCTATCTACATAGAACTTGAAGTTGCAGAAGATTCTTGGATATGTCTTCTTGCATTATTAGTGTTCTTCAGAGAATGATTTTCCCTCTGGTTCAGCAACTGGGTGAAACACTTGGAGGGAAAAGGAATAGCTGATCAAAAGTACTTAGTACTTGGTAATAATCATTCTAGTGGGCATAGCTCATGTTCTGCATGCCAAAGGCATCTGGATCAAGCATTCATGTCTTTTATCATTTGCTTGAGATCTGCAGGTTTGAACTTACTTGTGCACTACAGAATAGATTTGGGTTTCATTTAAAACATAGTGTCAGGAGGATATTGTAATTGAAATACATTACTTTTAAAAATAATTTTAGTAAAAGTTTTAAAAAACATAAGGTAAAAATTAAATGTCAAAAGATACAAAATATACAAAATAATATGAAGAAAAGTAATACAAAATAATATGAAGGGAAAAAAAGCCAGTTTGATCTTTTGATTACGGCAGGGGTCCCCAACCCCCAGGCTGTGGCTCACTACTGGGCCGTGGCCTATTCAGAATTCAGCTACGTGAGTAGCTGAGTGGCACAGTGCAACTTGCATGAATGGCGGGCTGGTGGGCGCTTACACATGTGTCGTGCTGGCCTGCCATTTGCACAAGTCAAGCTCCGCATGCATGTATGCATACTCTAGCCAGTTACTTGCTCGGCCCAATTCCAAATAGGTCACGTGGCCCAGCTGGATCACCAAGCCACAAAGGTTGGGGACCGCTGGGTTAAGGTACCAGGCTAGAAATCAGAAAACTATGAGTTTATTTAGTTATAAAATTTATTGGCAGCCCTCAGAGGTGGTACTCAGCAGGTACTGACCAGTTCTGGAGAACCGGTAGCGGAAATTTTGAATAGTTCGGAGAACTGGCAAATACCACCTCTGACTGGAGATTTTACAGTATCCTTCCCCTGCCACGCCCACAGAACCAGTAGTAAAAATAATTGAATCCCATCACTGGCTGCCCTTCTTACTACAGCGTAACTTACAGTCAATTCTTGTCCTGCCTTACACATGAAAGCCATCTGGTTGATTTTGGGTCAGTCACTCTCTTTCAGCCCAACCCACTTCATAGGATGTTGTTGTAAGGAAAGTAGGAGTAGGGAGGAGTATTGGATATGTTTACCTCTTTGAATTATGTATAAAAATAATAAAGGCAGGATATAAATAAGGGAACGAAAGAGTAAGAAATCAAAGAGAAAGCTAAAAGTCAAGAAAGGAATAAAACTAAAAATAAAATAGAAAGAAAAAAGATACAAAGAAAAATATAAATTGACATCTTTCAAAGCAGTTGTAAATAGGTCTGCTCAGAGTCAGTTTGGTATATAGTACTGAGCATTAGACTAGAAACCATGAGATTGTGAGTTCTAATCCTGCCTTAGGCACAAAACCAGCTGGGTGAATTTGGGCCAGATACTCTGTCTCAATTTTAGGAAGTAGGCAGTGGCAAACAACTTCTGAAAAACGAAAACTTGCCAAGAAAACTACAGGGATTTGTATAGATAACCTCTGAAAATTGGATACAATTGAAGGGAAGAAAACTAAATCTTTTGTTCTTGCTTGGAGAAAAAGGAGAAAAATAAGATGCTGAACGTACATCCTTTCATTTTTTTTATAATATACCCTTTTACCATTTGCTTTTTTTACTAATACATATTTTCATGTATTAGGATATTATGAAAAAGCTCATTCTTTCTTCCCTTAAATTCTTTTTTTTTTTAAATCTCTTTCTCATGATACCACAAGGGCTACTTAAAGAATTAGGACATGAGTTTGTAATCCTTTCTATGAAAAATACTTCTGGCTGCAGCCTGGTTTTCTCTGTTGCATTGTACCTTATTGTGGTAAAATTGTGGCCATGTAAATTGCAGGGGGTGAGTAACTCTTGGCCGGCTGTATATTACTACAGCTTGGCTGTGTTTCAGCTGCAAATGAAATGATCAGGAACCACTTATGCATGTTGGTAAATATAGAAGTTTAGCAGAAGCATGGAGAAGTTTTTAATGATTAGTACTCAATCAAGACACTCCCAAAAGCTTCTGTAAACATTCTTTTTCTTCTGGTTAGCTCTCTTAATGTTCCCCATCGTCTGATTAACTTGTAAAATTGCAGACGTTGCTGGAGGGGAAAAAGTAATCACCAAGTAATATACTAATTTAAGCAGTCATATTTCAGCCAAAAGGGATAAGAGGATAAGTGTGTGTTGTGTGCTTTATGTATGTATGCATCCATGCATGATTCTCACAGAGTTCTCTTTAGTAAGATTTATTGAGGTAAGATGTTCCCAAAATTCCAGAAACTGAATTCCATTTATAACCAATGTGTGCCCAAGTACACTGGGCTGAAGACTTTTTTTGTTTCTTTATAACAGCTCCCCTATGATCTAATGGGAAGAATGATTGGGAGTTTGGCAGCATAGAAATATAGTAAATTATTATTAATGTCTCTGATCACAGAAAAACAGCAACTGGATATTTATATATAAATATTCTGAACCCTAATCAGATTGGGATTTGGGTATTGCACATACATATATGCATATCATACAAAAAGACAGCTCTTTTTTATTTTGAATGTCAATAAGGTAGACTAAATCTTGAGACACTGGAATAATCTGTAATTTCAGTGTTCAATCCTATCCTAGTGCTACTGCTAATCCTGTATCTTTAATAAAGTCCTTTCTTAGGATAATAGTGGGCAATATCCTGTTTATCACCAATAGTTATATGAAAAGAATCTTCTTTTCCTTTTCCTTTCCCCTTAGCCCAGGAAACAGAAGGAAATATTTATTTTCATCTGATGGCTAATTAATAATTCCCCAAATCCTGAAGTGAGAATTTGATTTTGGCTTCTTTGAATTTACTAAATTGTCTCAAAAAAAGTATAAACCAATCAATAAATCAGAAGAAGAAAACATAGCTTTCTGCTCTGTTATGAAATTCCTGTCTTTTTTTTTTTTTTCTGTTCCTTTATCTAAAAGAAACTAAGCTATTTCTATCACACCAAGTCAGCAAATAGCAGCCCAGTACTGTATAGGAAGATCACTTTAAAAAAAAAACTTTCTCAGTTTTTATTTTTATTTTCTCAAGAAAGGAACTTCTATATTAATTTTTTGTTCGCACTTTTTAAGCCAAGCTTTTCATGATTCTGTGGTTTTAACACATGAATGTATGTATGAATGCTACATTTCTAAACTTTTTGATTCTTAGTTGTGACAAGAAGCTTTAATGGGTGCAACTTATTTTAATTTTCCACTTTTTTCTTCTATCCCTAACTCTGTATGCCATTGAAGTGAATCATTTTTTAAATCCTCCAGTTCTTCGTTGACCTCGTTCTTTGATTTTTTTTATCATTTCACTGAATGTATTAATTTTTTCTTAGATGGTTCACTAAAATTTCTGTATAACTGAATTGTAATTGGTGAACATAATGTGCTTATTTGATATCAAGTAATCCCAAATTTGATTTAATAAATTGAATTGGTTATACTTCAATTTTTTGGATTTTCAACAGCTGTTTAATAAATTTATTCATCTATAATATTCAGTGGATACAGAATTAATACTGGAAGAGGCCCAAGCTTGTAGCAATAGAATTAATAGAAATATTGGCTTGCATTTTGAGCCTATCTTTATTTTTAGTTCCTGGTAGATGAAAAAAAAGAAATAGAAGTTTTAAATGTTTATACTTCATGAAGTGAATGAGGGACTTGAGATGCTTTCATGTTTACTTAAATTAAGTACCATTGAATTAACTAAGTGTATGTATATATGTATGTATATGTGTGTGTGTGTGTGTGTGTGTGTGTGTGTATATATATATATATATGTATATGTATATGTATATGGTATTCAGCTTTGTTCGGGTATTTTCCCACGTCATTATAGTTGTGCTTTTAAAGTTGTAGTGATGTTTCGGCAAAATCTCATCTGCCATCATCAGGCTTCTGTATTGTGTTTGGGAGTCAGGCTTTCACAGCCGTTTCTGTTTTAAACTCCAAGACCAATAAACGCAAACTCCAAGACCAATAAACACAGACCAAGACTCCCAACCAATCAGGATGAAGAAAAAACCATTCTAACACAGCAGTAGGCTAGCACCAAATTTAAAACAGAAACGGCTGTCAAAGCCTGACTCACAGACAAACACAATACAGAAGCCTGATGATGGCAGATGAGATTCTGCCAAAACGTCTCTACAACTTTAAAAGCACAACTATAATGACGTGGGAAAATACCCGAACAAAGCTGAATACCATACATATAGATACCTGCGAAAACTTAAGAAAACAAATATATGTATGTATGTATGTATGTATGTATGTCAGGGATGGCAATTTTCTCAAGTGGCCATATGAAAACTGGGACTGTTGAAACCAATAGGCTCCTTGTTGCTCTTTGGCGGAGATCTTATTGGTCCCTGTTGTGTTTGGAGTTGAGCTTCTTCTTGATGACTTTGACGGCTGGCAGTGACATGTTTAGGGGGGAAAGATGGGGAGCCTCACCTCACCTCAGACCAGCCAGCCCCATCCGCCACTCTTCTGCTGTGGCTGCCATATTCCTGCTCACTTGCTATCTCTTGGCCTACAAGGACACGCTTTTGACTGAGGTAGCCGAGTCCAGGTCCCCTCGTGATGACCACCACCATCGCTTTCTCAGGCTTCTCTAGGTGAGGGATGAGCGCTGTGAAGGTGCAGAGAAGCCCTTTCTCCCCTCACCTTCTTGCGGCCCCCAGTCGACTGAAGGAGCGCACAGTGATTGCATAGAATTGGACCCAATTCTGTGACGTTCTTATTTACATTTGATTTCTAATTTCTGACTGACCTCATGCTGGCTGGTCAGGGACAGTCAAAGAACTTGGAGGTGCAAGTTGGGGGCTGTAAAATGCTCAGATCTTACACACACACACACACACACACACACACACACACACACAAACTGTTCGCTGTTCAGCTTGCAGTAATTTTGCTCAGTTCATAAGATCTATTCCACAACTTGCATTATGTACCCTCTCTTGATTTTTTCTGTTGTTGAAGGCATCTGTCAGCAGGAGAGAAAATGGAATTTTCAGTGATTTCCCCACAGACTCTCCCATGGCCCCTCTCACATATCTTAAGAAGGATCTGAATCTTTGGAACAGTTGAGAATGTAGGGAGTGGCAGTGAGTGAGGGAGAAATTTCTGAAAACTGTGCACCTCCATCTTGACAGAAGAAGCAAACTTGCTTTTGTTTCTGCCCCAGATATTCTTGATTATTATGCCAAGCAACTGTAATGCCATTAAAATATTTTGGGGGGTAACTGAGTTAATTTGAATTGTATCTTATGCCATATTTGCACGGATGGAGGTCTTTAATTTCAATAATGCCTTTCTGGGATTTGAATGAAGTTCATAATATTCACATTGAAATTCTACTGAAATATTAATCAGCTCTTAGACTCTCCATTCTAAAACTGCAGTTGCTAATGATAGTCATCTAATTGGTAATAAATGTTTTATTTTTATTTATTTAATATTAATTAAAGAAGGGATGGAACTTTACTAGTTTCCATGGCTACTTGATATTTTACAGTGGATTTCTTTTGGAAAGCTTTACCTAATAATTTAAAATTCACAGAAAAATGTATACTCTAGCACAAAACTAATTATATATGTAAAGTGAAAATGTGGAAGTATATTTGAAAACTATCCTATGTGGGTTAGTGATGAGTCATTTGGATGACTAGAATATAGTTTGAAATACCTTAATACTTTTAGAGTTACACTGTGGGTGAATTTTTAATTAAAAACACAAATGCTTTACTTCTAGCTGTGAATTCCATTACAAGATTGGTTATAAGTTACCAAAGCAACCCATCTCCACAAATAAAGCAATGGGTGGAATCATTTCCAGATGGCGGGTAAGTAAATCTTCTCAATTGGAGGTATATTTTTTGTATGGCAGGAAGGAGAGTGTCTCAGATGAATTTTTAAGTTCTGTAATGTAGAACAACTTGGCAAGTTTAGCTACAGCAGAATCATATTTATCAGTGTATTGGTTGCTCTTATTTCTATTTATATGATTAGTTTTCCAATGAAGATAAGCAGCTCTTAAAATCAGAAGGCTATGCATACCTTTTATGCAGTGTTAAATTGTGTCTATTTATTGTGGAATGATATGCCTGAGGTCAGTGGTCCCCAACCTGTCTGACAGCAGGAACCTATTTCAGAAGAAAAATTTTCTTCCATCAATTAGGGGGACGGGATGGTTTCATGTGCATCCCACATCCTGCTCATGTGCAAATGAAGCTTTGCTCACTTACTTGCTACTTGCGCAGCCTAGTTCCTAACAGGCCACAGACTGGTACTGATATGTGGGCCGGGGTTGGGTGGGGGTTGGCCCCTGCTTAGATGATGTTGTAGGGAAAAAATATTGCTAATAACTAAGGAGCTGTCTAGAGAAATGGTGAAGTTCAATTTGTTATGTTTTAGCATTTTGCAATACAAGAATGTAGCTGCTTAATGAGAGACCACATATAACAGGCAACTTAGTTTATGGAGTTTCTCCCCTTTTCGGAATCATTAACAAGAATAGCATTGATATCCTGCTTCCTTGAATTTGAAGTGCATCTCATGGAAGACTTTGATAAGAATACACAAATCATATCAATGAATTTTCAAGTTGGAGATGGTAGCCAAAAATAAGAATAGTAGCTTGAGTTTGAAGATATTTCTGGTTTATAATGAACTCTGCTTGTTAAAAATGTATAAATCACATATAGGGTATCATGTTTATACTTTAAACATAATTTAATAATCTTGTTAGTCCTGCTTTAAAAAATGGATGTCATTAGCTTGTATTTATGTATGAGGAATATGTTTCATTTTAAATGCAAGCAAATATTATTTTTCAGATCTGTATAATCTAAGAAAAACCCTTCTATTTACATAGTTTCTTTGCACATGTAGAAAAAGGATTTTTTTCTATTTATGTGCAAATGTGTATGGCTGTGAAATGTTGAAGATAATACAGTATAATAGGATGTATCTGCATATATTTTTTGCTATGTATGCATCATATTTATATCCCACCCTTCTTTTTAAAAGCTCTCAGTGCGGCATTTATAGTAATAATATGATGTATTTGCACATTAATCCTGGGAAGTAGGTTCAGGTTGACAGATACTGAGTCACTGAAGGCCACCTGCAAATTTCATGGCAGAATTGAGATTTTGTACTCAAGTCTCTCTGGCATACTACACCACCAGTTTATTGCACTGATTGCACTGTTGAAGGAAGAACTTACATTTACTGCAGTTTGATCTACTGCATTGTAACTGTAGAGTCTGGAAATTTCTGTAACTGAAATTTGTCCTCAATCTGATAGAAATGCACAGAAATCTATCACTAAATAAGTATCCCTAAACACTAGTATTGCAAAAAGCTTTCTGTAATCCCCCATCTTTCTTTCTTTCTTTCTTTCTTTCTTTCTTTCTTTCTTTCTTTCT